TTTTTTTTTTTGAGACAGTGTTTTGCTAAGTCACTAAATTTCCCACGCTGGGCTCCAACTTGAGATCCTTCTGCCTCAGCCTCTCAGAGTGCTGGGGTTACAGGATTGCACCACCTTGCCCAGCAGAGAGTCCTAAGAATGACGGCTGTATTGAGGGCTCAGCTTGGCAGTAGCTAAGGCAGCAAGGGAAGGTGCAAGACTGGGCGAAGACCAGTGTGTGAAGGCTGGAGTCTCCCAGACGCACGCAGAGTTTGAGATGGCTCGGAGTGTGTTAATCTCAGAAAACTGCTGTGGGTTTGGTGATGCCTGAAGGGATAGCACAATGACAAACAATGGATTATTTCAGAGAGTGGTTGCACACACCTATAGTCCTGCATTCTCAGTAGGCTGAGGCAAGAATGTTCCAAGTTCAAGGCCAGCCTAGGCAACCTAGTGAAATCCTGTCTCAAAATAAAAGAGGCTGTAGTAGAGCTCCCCCGGGTTCCATCCCCAGTACCACAAAACAAACCAAAAAGATCCCAAGATGTGGATAGAATAATGAAGAGGCTCTGTATTAACCCTCACACCATCTACAGAGGAGGAAAGATCATTTTCCCACATGTGCCAGGACTGGAGGACCAATCTCTTTACAGGCTAGGACAGGAGACAACTTTTAGATCTGGCCATAAAGGGACAACACAGCCCACCCAAGCTCTCCTCTTGGGACCACTGGCTTGGGCAGTGGGCAGGAGCACCTTGGCCTTCGTGGAGTAAAGGAGCCCTGGGAGGCTGAGCTAGCGCGCTAGTCCTGACCACAGGAAGCATCAGAACAAACGGAAGGTGGAGAGCCTGAGGGAGCTGCCCGTGCAGATGAGGTCACTCTTTGCTGCTTGAGCAGAGAAGGCAGGGGAATGTGTCCTTTAAGCACAGATGCAACCTGTGAGAGTAACTCAAATGGTGCCCTCCAGGTGGCTTCTCCCTCTAGCTCTGGACGCTAAGTAGTGTCCCTGTGCCCTGTAATACCCAGACCTAAATTGCAGACAACTCTCACTTCAGCAGAAAGTCCCAAGCTTGAATCTCATTGGTTTAGCGCTGGGCATATGTTCACTCAGAACTAATCCCTGTGGCTGATGGCTAGAAGAATGTGCTGATTAGGGGCTGAGGGTTTATCTCAGTGGTTCTGGTGCCTGCCTCACAAGGACAATGACCCGAGTTCGATTCCCCAGTACAAAAAAAAAAAAAAAAAAAAAAAAAAAAAAAAAAAAAAAAAAAAAAAAAAAAAAAAAGAGAATGTGCTGATTGGCTAGGAGCCTCATCATTCATGTAAATAAACAGCTGGCCTTGTCTCCCGGCAACACATGGCCCATCCTCCACACTGCCCAGCCCTGTCCTTCCCAGCCCAACAGGAAATGGTTCTCTTTCTTAGGCTGGCTTTGACTTCTCCAGGGCTGAGATTACAGGCATGTCATACTGTGTCAGGCTCCGGCAGGACATTCTGTACAAAGACAGTGATGGAGAACAGCCCATCAATATAACTCCAGTGTCCAGCAGAGCATGCTGATACCAGCATTAGTGAATATTACACCTGCATATGGCTGGTAATTCCTTCACAACCTGGTCCACTCCATGTCTACCTGGACATATGGCTTCCTGGAAAAAGAACTACATTTCCCAGCCTCCTTTGTAGCCAGGTGTGGCCAAATGACTAAGTTCTAGCTGACCAGGTACAGGCAGAAGTGGTATGCATAACTCTGAGGAAAAAAGGATGTCTTCCTATTTCCTGCTATTGGATGGTAGGTAGATGTGATTGTTGATTCCAACACCCACCTGGACAGTACTTTGGGAACAGAGGCCTTGAATGGTGAAGGAACAAGATGCAAGCAAACTGGGTCCTCAGCACCAAAAAAGGCCATGCCATCCTTGAACTGACTAGCATTTTGATCACCTTCTTTTTACCCCTTTGGTGAAGGAGGGATCCTTTAAATAATATGAGATGGTTGAACACAACTCCTAACACGGGACCCATGAGATTGACATCAGTTTATTCTTTTCTTTACTACTCTGGGAATTGAACATAGGGTCTTTTCACCAAGCGACATCTTTGGCCCTTTTATTTTATCTTTTGTTTCTTTTTGTTTTTTGAGACAGGGTTTTGCCATGTAGCTTAGGCTGGCCTCGAATTTGTGTCAATCCTCCTGCCTCAGCCTCTTCAGTGCTGGGATTATAGGCCTGTGCCACCATGCCTGGCCCCTTTTATATTTTTCAAACAGAGTCTCACTAAGTTGCGCAGGCTCCCTTGGACTTGCAATCCTCCTACCTCAGCCTCCCACGGTGCCGGGATGACAGGTCAAAAAATAAAATAAAATTTTGTACATGTATTTGGTGCTGAAGATGAAACTCAGCACTGAGAGCTGAACTCCATCCCAGCACTTTTTTTTTTTTTTTTTGAGGCAGGGTCTTACTGTGTAACCCAGCTTGGGCTTGAACTCACTACATAGCCCAGGCTGGCCTTAAATTGGGATCCTCCTGCCTCAGCCTCCCAATTGCTGGGATCACAGCAGGTGCCACCACGCCTGGCTTCTGCTGGCTACCTTGAAATATATAATGAGCTACTGCCCTGCACAGTGATCCTGATGGACTATGGGAAGATGTAAGTGACTCCTCCCATTGAGCTGCACCTGTGTTACTGAGTCATACAGAACTGCAGTCCCCAAGGCTACCTGGACAGTGACTAGTAGGCACCCAACTCACAGAGGAACTGCTTGTTGCTTCAGTCTGCTAGTGAAACTCGAAACTTCGTCTCATTGGCCAGCACCGGTTACGTGGTCACATGGTGCCCCTCAGGAAGAAGGATCATTGTGTTGTGCGTTCGAAGCCAGCCTGGACTACATAGCAGGACGCTATGTAAAAACCAAAACTAAAGGAATAAAGTGTATTGACAGAAAACCCGAGGCTCAGCGCTGAGCTTGATAGCCCGTACCTGGAATCTCAGCTACTCCAGAGGCTAAGGCGGGACTGCAAGTTTGATCCCAGCCTGGGTAACTCAGCAACACTTTGTCTCAAAATAAAAAATAAAAAGGGCTGGGCCTGCAGCCCAGTGTAGACTGCTTGCTTAGCATGTGCAAATCCCTGAGTTTCATCTCCAGCACTGCAAAAATACAAAAAATGAAAAATAAAAATAAATAAATAAATAAAAGCTAGTGGTATGGGGAAAAATTATAATTTCTAGTTCCATTTGCTTGTGTCATCCTGTCTTGGGTCTATTTTCCATGTATGGTTTGTGATTCACATGGTGCACAGTGTGGTCTGAGTGCACATGTGCGCTTGCGTCATTTTGTAAACCCACACACATGCATGTGGAGAGTGGGTCCTTAAAGTGGGCATGGTGGCACATGCCTGTAGTCCTAGCACTTGGGAGGCTGAGGCAGGAGGATTGTCTCGAGTTCGAGGCCAGCCTGGGCTACATAGTGAGTTTAAGGCCAGCCTGAATTAGATAGTGAGGCCCTGTCTCAAAAAAA